CAAAGTGTTGGATATCATTTAGTGTTTGATTGTTGGTTTATTAAACATGCAGTTTGATCACCATCAGATGAATGAATGATGAAAGACATTAATGTCTGGTCCTTGTATCAGCAGTAGAAGAAGACTGGATGCAGTGTGTGTTTGCAGCCACTAGAGGGCAGCAGTGTAACACTGATAATTCTGACTGCAGCAGCAGCATCATGCAGACACTTCTTTATGGACACATGTTGACATGTGACAGCAGGAACAGATCAGGAAACTCAAATGTTGTGTAACTGCAGCAGAAAATTCAGATGATAGAAATATATGAAGAATAAAATACGTGTCAAATGGATATGATCACTTGATACAGTCAAAAATGTTAAAAATGTTAATTTATTTTTTACAGTGCAAGTCTCTGCACTGGCTACCTGTCGCTCAGTGAATTGACTTTAAAAGAGCTTCACTTGTGTACAAATCTCTTCATGGTCTAGCACCAAAGTACATCTCTGACATGTTAGTGCCATATGAACCATCACAGGCTCGGAGAACCTCAGGGAGGATCTCCTGCTGGTGCCCAGAGTCAGGACTAAACACAGTGAGGCTGTGTTCCAGTTTTATGCAGCTCTAATCTGGAACTGGATTTCAGAAGATGTGAGACAGGCCTCAACTCTGACAATGTTCAAATCCAGGCTGAAAACAGTTCTATTTAGTTGTGCATATGACAACTGAAAGTATTTTATCTGTTCTCTTCTAATCATGATTATATTTATGTTTTTATGCATTGATTTTATGTGCCTCTTTGCTTTTTAATGTAATTAATTAATAATTGTGTTTATGTTCTGTGGACTGATTTTATCTGTCTTCTTATACTTTGTGTGAAGCACTTTGAATGACCTCACGTACGAATTGTGCTATACAAATAAACTTGCCTATTTGGTGTAAATGACAGAATTACCAAAAGTAAATACATTTCAACACTCGAAGGACAAAGAGAAAAACAAATTGATATTTTGAGTAGAAACTGAGCAGATATTTTATCAACATCTAAATGAGTCTATGTTTAAAAACCAAAACCTCCAAATAAAGATAGTGAAGTAGAAGTAAAGGAAAGGAAACACATGTTTATGATCAACTCTAGGGCAGGTTGTAAAGTTTCCAAAAATACCAGATGTGTCCGACTGAATGCTGAGAAATGTTTCTATTAATATACAGCATGAGGACATCAATGAGAATATTAAAAATCAACCTGTAGAATTTGAGAAAAGTGTTTGACATGTTATAAAAGTGAATCTATTATTGAAATATGGTCAGAGTTGAGGAGCTGTGTGGATTTGTAGTTTTCTGTTTCCATCCCAACAACAGATAACAGTCTGTGTTACTAAATTCTCCACCAACCT